CCTTCACTCCCCCACCCCACCCCCACCTCCATTAGATTCCATATGCAAAGCCTCAAAAATTTAGGCCTGTTCAGTTAAGGCCAAGGCTGTGCTGGTACTTTGATCCCGGTCATTTCTTGCTGGCCTGCTTGCAGGCTGACAGTCCCTGGCATGGGAAGGGGCTTGTCCTGGGTTTCTCGGGATCCTCTTCAAGAAACATGCTGAAGCCCCCGGCCGCTGCAGTACACTGAATTGGTGGGCTGAGTCTTGCTCTCTGTCGGTCTGGCATGGTACAGTGATTTTGGTAGCTTTGGATCATATTTTATTCAGCTTATGGGCTCTCCCAGGAAGCGGGGCCATCAGTAATTCTGCACAGGTGACCTTTAAATGAAACTAGTGCACAGATATATCAAGAAAGTGCAATTAGCAAATCAAGTGGCAAACTCTGCAGAGCTATAAATATTATAATTGAGTTGTGCCTGCTGTTACCATGCACTTTTCTAAATACCCACAATAGACTGTAAATTGCTATAAATAAACAGGCTGGGAAATAAAATCAAATTTTTTTTTTCTGGGGTTGATTCCATTTGTGTTTTCACTCTTGTATTTTGTTTTTTTTCCAGTCTTGTGGGAATATTTACAAAGGCCTTTCCCAGACAGGAGCCTGGGGCTGTTTTGATGAATTTAACAGGATCTCAGTTGAGGTCCTTTCTGTGGTTGCTGTACAGGTAAGTGGAGAAATGCTCGTAAATAAATACCAACAAAGCAGAGCAATGCTGCAGCAAGGGTAAATACGGAAAGTGCATGTCATCGGTTTCAGTTGCATGTGTAGGCAGGTGGGGGATTATATCCCAAGATTAATCACATGGATATCACAGCACTGACAAAATGTAGCAGTTATGTGCTGCAAATATTTCTGTTTCTTCTACCCCAGTTTCAGCATTTGTGTTGAGGCAATTCTTTGTAGCATCTTTTCCCAGATCAGTATACAATGTGGCTACTGTTCCTCCTGAGGAAGACACTCATGTCACTAATGTGCTGTGAGATAATCCTGTGTATCATTTTAAAAAGTAGAACTGCCTTGTATTATGGCTACTCAGTCTGCCATGTAGGGCATGATTTTCATGGAGGAAAGGGGTGGTGTTTGGGGCAGATCCATGGTCTGTTGGACTTCTGGGGGTTACTTGTTACCTCCAGTCAAGCACAGTTTGTGTGTCATATTCAGAAAATACATTAATGATTAAATTTCTTAACCGTTGCCTGTCACTACAACTGTGCAGTCTTCTTTCCTTCTTTCTCTTTTCATATGGCTGTAGATTTAATTCCACTGTATGTAATAAGAGCTCTGCAACATGGCTTTGGAGGATATTCCTGGCTGAGTGGCATAATTCCTAGGAGGAATGTGTGCAGCCCCATGGGTGCAATGTGGTGATCCTGAAAGAGGGTGTCAGCTGGGTGACTCAGTAACTGGAACCTGCGGCAGATCTGCAGCCCTTGCTTATGCGCTTGCCTAGGATACCCTAGCAGCGTGGGATTAAAGCTAGGAGAGAGCTATTTGAGCTGTGCCTGGGTATGCATAGGTGATTTTCCTGTAGCATGGTTTCTTGTCTCCTCTATAGTTTAACCGTTCAGTGCATTTTGTTGGCGAGTCTGGTGTAGAAGCACAGCAGCCATCACTGGAGAAGGGCTGGAAAGGCAACTGCCTTTTCCATCATGCCAGAGAGTCCTATTCTCTTGTGCTTATATGTAATCTGTCACTTTGTCTCCTCCTTACTTTCCTCTTACCAGCCCATGAGGAAATCTGGAATTATTTTATACAGGGGAAAGTTTTGCAGGAGAGGCGTTACGTGCCTGGGTTCTGCATGCCCAGTGGGTGGTGAAGGGGCACCCAGAGTAAGTGCTGTGGCTGTGAATCCCCTCTGGCAGGGGTTGAAATTTGGGGCAGCCTAGATATAACCATGGGGCAGCAGAATGGGGCAGGCCCTGCTACCTCTTCTGGACCTTGCTTTGAATGAGAGCTGTGTCTGGATGATGTCAAGATCCTAACTCTAACTGTCACCCTCTGAAAATGCCAGGTAGATCCAACTACCAGGGCAGTTTGAGCAGAGGGTGTGTGCTCAACTGCACTGCCCAGACTGAGACAGCTCTGACATGGGCAGAACTGAAAATTATGAGCCTGGGAGGAGGCTTCAGTGCTGAAAACTGAGATGACAAAGTATCTAAGTTCTTCTGGACCCAAGTGTCAGCTAAGTGCAGGTTTTAGGATCCCAGTGTCTGACTGAGGTGGTGAATTCTTCCAAGACCCTGTTTTGGGCTCCTTATTGCAGAAAGAAAAATCTAGAGCTTAGAAGTTTCTACACTTTTGCAAATGTTTCGGTCAAAGATGTTGTTCTGAACGTCTCCATGAACTCCTCACTCTTCTCATCTCTCTTTCACTCTTAACTGGTACCTTACAAGACATCCCAAAGAAGCCCCAGGCGGATACAGGAGTTTATGTATCGTTCCCTCTCAATTTCTCTTCCATCAGGTTCTAGTTTAAAGTTGTCATTGAAAAAAGTCTTTGAGGATCTTAAAATAAAAAGGGAAGCTGAACAAAAGAAGCCCAGATATGACTCAACTGCTAATGATTCCCTCGCTCCTGGCTGGAGCACAGCATCTGAAGAAAGCAGCACTTCTGTCATTCCATCATCATGTCTCCTGGCTGCTATTAGGAATGTAACCATGGCAATGTTTAATTGGCTGTCTTAGTCATGCAGCTAATGTCGATATGGTTCCTTACAGAAAAAAATTCGATTAATTGCTTAACTTTAAGATGGCAAACAGCAGTAAGGTTAGAGTAGTGAATATAAAGAGATTTCTCCCTTGCTGAAGTACTGTTTGCAGAAAGGTGATCTAGCTTTAATAAACTTGCTCTCTGTGAAAGGTGAGGAATGAGAAAAACAAAGCTGCAATCAGGCAAATAGGAAAAATAATATAATATTAGTCAGTGAAAGTGTCAGGGGAGGTTTTACATCTTCTGCCTTGTGGTTTTGGTTTTAAATTAAGCATCTGATGTACCTAAATCTTCAGAAGTGATGTCAAGTGATCAGTTTGCAATTGAGCTGAGACCAGGTTTTTTGGGAAACGCTGTTCCTTTTCTGGGCCTAGAGAAAGCACAGGAGGGTTTTGGGATGTCATGAAGAGCAATGGTGTGTGGGGAGCGGTGAAGATGAGTGAAGGGAATCAGGACCCCATATTGTGTCAGACTCTTGGGAGCACATTTGGGTGTTGGCTGTGTTGTGGATGCCTGGACAGCCCTGCATCTCATCTCATACATCTAGCCTCCTGCTAGGTTGGGAAGTTCAAAGAGCTGTGAGGTGTGCTGAGAAGTGTCCCACAGGTGGTGTCAAAAGCCAAGGTGAGATGCAGGCAGCATTGAGGATGTTTCCTACTCTTAAGTTGCTCTTCTTGACCCACACCTGTCTTATGGAGAAAAGTTGCAAATTCTTGCACTCCTTTGCACTTTGATTGCCCCATTTCTTCAGCTGTCTTTTCTGCTTTGTCAGAGTTTGATTGTGATGGGAGATTGATATTGCTGCACAGATTTACTCTGAATAGTGTATAAAGCTTTATATGGTTAGCAAAAGAAACCAAAACAAAACAGTGATAAGCCCCATTCATCATGGGGCTAAATGTAAGGAAGTCAGCACTGCTATCTGATGTGTTTTTTGTAACTGAACATGGGTACTATAATACTGTCTTGGTTTCTAGGTGAAGAGTGTGCAGGATGCAATACGGGAGAAGAAGAAATCCTTCAATTTTCTTGGAGAAGACATTAAATTAGTACCCTCAGTAGGCATTTTCATCACCATGAACCCTGGTTATGCAGGGCGAACTGAGCTGCCTGAGAATTTAAAAGCTCTCTTCAGGTGGGTTCAGGTCAGGGTTTGTGACCTGTATTATAAGAATGGCAGAAATTCTCTTTTGGAACATCCAAGCTTGACTTCATTTCCCTGGGGAATTCACTTGCATTGGGGATTTGTAGATAGTTTCTGCCTTTTGCAAGAAGCGTGGGTCTGGGAATGCACAAGCAGGCCAAATGAGCACTGTCCCTTGCAGCGGGAAAGGCAGAGTGTGACCTGGCTCATAGGTGAAGACCTGGCAGATAAAGATGCAAATCCACTTCCTCTAAGATCTGTAGTCAAGAGATGCTTGTTCTGCAATCTTTTCTTGCCTGTGTTTTTAGGCCATGCGCAATGGTTGTGCCAGACTTTGAGCTGATCTGTGAAATTATGTTGGTGGCTGAGGGATTCATTGAGGCCCGGACGTTGGCCAGGAAGTTCATTACTCTGTACCGACTCTGCAAAGAGCTTTTGTCCAAACAGGTGAGCCTGCTTCTGTGGCTGGATGGGAGAATGAAACTTGCTGATCTCCAAAATGGGCACAGTGACAGCACTCTGCCACTCAGCTGCATGGCTAAAGCTTCACAACTTTTATGTAATGACTGCATTTGCTCTAGCTGCTGGGAGAAGAGAAGGTTTGTGATGATCAGAGAAATGAAATTTTCAGGCTGCTTCACTGGAGGATCTGTAGAAACAAAAGTGTTTGACCAGCTGCATTAATGGAAGAGATCTTGCAGTGGGCTAAAATGACACCATGTTTGGGGTAGTAATCAGCAACCCTTGGCTTTCTAGTCTCTTCAGGGGGTTTATGATGTCAGCCTAATGTCTCCCGGTCTTGTCAGATGTTCACAGAATCACAG